GTGTGATCCCTGTGTGATCCCTGTGCTGATCCCTGTGTGATCCCTGTGCTGATCCCTGTGTGATCCCTGTGTGATCCCCGTGTGATCCCCGTGTGATCCCTGTGTGATCCCTGTGTGATCCCCGTGTGATCCCCGTGTGATCCCTGTGTGATCCCTGTGTGATCCCTGTGTGATCCCCGTGTGATCCCTGTGTGATCCCTGCTCTCCCAGCTGGCCTACCCGCACCGGGTGATCATCCTGAAGGCCATGGAGACCGTGGTGAGGGACAACATCGACCTGCTGGACAAGAGCACGGCCAAGGTGGTCATCTTCCTGGCCTCCAGCGAGATGACCAAGTCCAAGGTACGGCCGGAGCGGGGCCAGGGAGGTGCTCCAAGGGCTCTGGAGCCAGGCTGGGAGAGCTGGGAATGTTCCCCTGGAGAAGGGAAGGATCCAGGGAGACCTTGGAGCCCCTTCCAGGGCCTGAAGGGGCTCCAGGAGAGCTGGAGAGGGACTGGGGCCAAGGGCTGGAGGGACAGCACCCAGGGAATGGCTTCCCAGGGTTAGGGGGGATAGTGGGAAGGGATTCCTGGCTGGGAGGGTGGGGAGGGGCTGGGATGGAATTCCCAGAGGAGCTGTGGCTGCCCCTGGAGCCCTGGGAGTGTCCCAGGGCAGGTTGGAGCACCCTGGGATGGTGGGAGGTGTCCCTGCCCATGGCAGGGGGTGGGAATGGATGTCACTCCTGCAATCCCACCCCAACTCCTGCAATCCCACCCCAATTCCTGCAATCCCACCCCAATTCCTGCAATCCCACCCCAGCTCCTGCAATCCCAAATTCCTGCAATCCCACCCCAGCTCCTGCAATCCCACCCCAAACTCCTGCAATCCCACCCCAATTCCTGCAGTCCCACCCCAGTTCCTGCAATCCCACCCCAATTCCTGCAATCCCACACCAATTCCTGCAATTCCCACCCCAATCCTGCAATCCCCCCCCAACTCATGAAATCCACACCAATTCCTGCAGTCCCACCCCAACTCCTGCATCCCACCCCAATTCCTGCAATCCCACCCCCAACTCCTGCAATCCCACCCCAACTCCTGCAATCCCACCCCAGTTCCTGCAATCCCACCCCAATTCCTGCAATCCCACCCCAACTCCTGCAGCTCAGCCAGCGGGACTTAAGGAAGGAGGAGGGACTGGAGGAATATCCCCCTGGAAATTGGGGATACTGGAATCAGGGGTTAGGCCAGGCCTGGGAATCCTTTTCCACCCTCTGAGCTCACACTTGGGCCTTCCTTGGGATGTTCCTGGTCACGGGACACAGGGAATGGCCTCAAACTGGGAAAAGGGGAGATTTCCACGGGATATTGGGAAGGAATTCCTGGCTGGGAGGATGGGGAGGGGCCGGGATGGAATTCCCAGAGAATCTGTGGCTGCCCCATCCCTGGGAGTGTCCCAGGCCAGGCTGGATCCCCCTGGGATGGTGGGAGCTGTCCCTGCCCGTGGGATGATCCCAAAGGTCCCTTCCCACCCCAAACCATTCCCCTGGGATTTCGAGGAAGCCCCGCAGGCTCCCGGGGGGGAGGCTCCGGGTCCGACATTCCCGACGTTCCATCCCGTCATTCCCGCTCCAGGACGTGATCTGGGAATGGCAACAGGCCGCCAGCAACGTCCTGGTGGCCGTGGGGCAGCGCTTCGTCAACAAGGTCATGGAGGAGGTGCTGACCAAATTCCAGCCGGGAATTCTGCCCCACTACTTCGTCCTGCAGACCTTCGCCAACCTCGCCGTGTCCAACGGTGAGCCGGGAAGGGGCCCCGGGAATGCTGGGAGAGCCGGGCCTGGGAGAACTGGGAGAACTGGGATTTCGGCACCTCCCGATGGTTCTGGAGGCTTCCTGAGGAAATTCCGGAGGTCTCGGAGCTGGGAAGGGATTTTTGGGGCTGGAACACCCTGAAAAGTCCTTATTGAGACTTGGTGTTGCTGGGATGGGAGCCCAGCAGGGAATTCCCTCTGGATAATTGGGATAGAACTGGGATTTCAGCACCTCCCGATGGCCCCGGGAGTCTCCCGAGGAAATTCTGGAATTCTCGGAGCTGGGAAGGGATTTTTGGGGTTGGAACACCCTCAAAGTCATCTTTAAGACTTGGTGTTGCTGGGATGGGAGCCCAGCAGGGAATTCCCTCTGGATAACAGGGATAGAACTGGGATTTCGGCACCTCCCGATGGCTCTGGGAGCCACCAGAGGAAATTCTGGAATTCTCGGAGCTGGGAAGGGATTTTTGGGGCTGGAACGTCCTCAAAGTCACCTTTAAGACTTGGTGTTCCTGGGATGGGAGCCCAGGCAGGGAATTCCCTCTGGATAATCGGGATAGAACTGGGATTTCAGCACCTCCAGATGGCCCCGGGGGCCTCCGGAGGAAATTCCGGAGTTCTCGGAGCTGGGAAGGGATTTTTGGGGCCGGAATGCCCTGAAAAGTCCTTATTGAGACTTGGTGTTCCTGGGATGGGAGCCCAGGCAGGGAATTCCCTCTGGATAATCGGGATAGAACTGGGATTTCAGCACCTCCCGATGGCTCCGGGTGCCTCTGGAGGAACTTCTGGAATTCTCGGAGCTGGGAAGGGATTTTTGGGGCTGGAACGCCCTGAAAAGTCGTCTTTAAGACTTGGTGTTGCTGGGATGGGAGCCCAGCAGGGAATTCCCTCTGGGTAATCGGGATAGAACTGGGATTTCAGCACCTCCCGATGGCTCTGGAGGCCTCCAGAGGAACTTCTGGAATTCTCGGAGCTGGGAAGGGATTTTTGGGGCTGGAACACTCTGAAAAGTCGTCTTTAAGACTTGGTGTTGCTGGGATGGGAGCCCAGCAGGGAATTCCCTCTGGATAACAGGGATAGAACTGGGATTTCGGCACCTCCCGATGGCCCCGGGGGCCTCCAGAGGAACTTCTGGAATTCTCGGAGCTGGGAAGGGATTTTTGGGGCTGGAACGTCCTCAAAGTCATTATTGAGACTTGGTGTTGCTGGGATGGGAGCCCAGGGCACAGGGAATTCCCTATGGAAGGGGGGCCCAGGCAGGGAATTCCCTATGGATAATAGGGATATTATGGATAATATGGATAATATGGATAATATGGATAATATGGATAATATGGATAATATGGATAATATGGATAATATGGATAATATGGATATTATGGATAATATGGATAACGGATAATATGGATGATATGAATAATATAATATAGATAATATGAATAATATGGATAATATGAATAATATAGATAATATAGATAATATGGATAATATGAATGATAATATGGATAATATAATATGGATAATATGGATACTATGAATAATATGGATAATATGGATAATATGGATAATAATGTGAATAATATGAATAATATGGATAACATGGATAATATAGATAATATGAATAATATGGATAATATGGATAGTATAGATAATATGGATAATATGAATAATATAGATAATATAATATGGATAATATGGATAATATAGATAATATGGATAATATGAATAATATAGGTAATATGGATAATATGAATAATATAGGTAATATGGATAATTGGATAATATGGATAATATGGATAATATAGATAATATAGATAATATAGATAATATGGATAATTGGATAATATGGATAATATGGATAATATGAATAATATGGATAATATGGATGATATGGATAATATAGGTAATATGGATAATATGAATAATATAGATAATATGGATAATATAATATGGATAATATAATATGGATAATATGGATAATATGAATAATATGGATAATATGGATAATAATATGAATAGTATGAATAATATAGATAATATAGATAATATGGATGATAATATAGATATTATGGATAATATGGATATTATGGATAATATGAATAATATGGATAATATGGATAATATGGATGATAATGTAGATATTATGGATAATATGGATATTATGGATAATATGAATAATATGGATAATATGGATGATAATATAGATATTATGGATAATATGGATATTATGGATAATATGGATAATATGGATAATATGGATGATAATATAGATATTATGGATAATATGGATATTATGGATAATATGAATAATATGGATAATATGGATGATAATATAGATATTATGGATAATATGGATATTATGGATAATATGAATAATATGGATAATATGGATAATATGGATGATAATGTAGATATTATGGATAATATGGATATTATGGATAATATGAATAATATGGATAATATGGATGATAATATAGATATTATGGATAATATGGATATTATGGATAATATGGATAATATGGATAATATGGATGATAATATAGATATTATGGATAATATGGATATTATGGATAATATGAATAATATGGATAATATGGATGATAATATAGATATTATGGATAATATGGATATTATGGATAATATGAATAATATGGATAATATGGATAATATGGATGATAATATAGATATTATGGGTAATATGGATATTATGGATAATATGGATAATGTGGATAATATGGATGATAATATAGATATTATGGATAATATGGATATTATGGATAATATGGATAATATGGATAATATGGATAATATGGATAATATGGATATTATGGATATTATGGATAATATGGATAATATGGATAATATGGATAAGCGCTTCCAAGAGCTCTGGGCTGAGCTGGGTGGGATTCCCGAGTTCAGGAATTTCCGAGGAGGAGGGATCTGGGCTCCTCTGTTCCCCGGGGGACATTCCCAGGTCCATCCCTGCTCCCACCCGGAGCTCCAGCAGCCTCTGGAGACCCCCCACGGATCCCAAATCCCTCCAATCCCTGCGGGAACGAGGAGCAGCATCTCCCAAACCTCCCCCCGGTTCCCGGGGACATCCAGCAGATCCTGCTTTTCCAGAGGGGAGGAGCCCACAAGTCCTGGAGCAGCTCCAGGAGCTCTTGGAGCAAAATGAGGCTCCTGTGGTTGCAGCCAGCGGGATTTTCTTCCCAGATCCTGCCAGGATCCGGCTCCAGGGAATTCCTGGGTGTGTTTTTTTTTGTGGATAAACCTCCCCCCCCCGTTTCCTTCCCAGTTTTTGGAATGGTGCCTTTCCTCAACTCCATCCTGGGGACGATGCTGCCCATGCTGGGAATGGCCAAGCAGGACCACATGAAATCCGTCTTCTGCTACGGTAAAACCCCGGGAAAAGGGGCTCCTTTCCCTGGAAAAGGGGGTTCTTGGGATGAGGGGGGGGGGTGGGTGGAACTTTGGCTGGGAGCAGGGAAGGGTTGGATCCCATCTTGCTGGGAATCCGGGCTGGACAAGGCTTGGAGCAACCTGGGATTGGCTGGAGGTGTCCTTGAAGGTCCCTTCCCACCCAAAGCATTCCAGGGTTCTCTGATCCAGGAAAAAGTCCCGTCTGATCCCTCTTTGTCCCGGTGTCCTTGGGTTCCTCCTCTGGAAAAAGGGGCCGTGGATGCCCCAGAGGTGTCCTGAGGTGACCATCCCGGGGGGATTGGGAAGGAAAGAGGGATCATGGAGGGGCTGGAGCGTGGCCAGGGATGGGAACGGGGCTGGGAAGGGTCTGGAGAACTCCTGAGGGAGCTGGGGGGGCTCAGCCTGGGGAAAAGGGGGCTCAGAGGGAATCCAGGG